CAGAATTAACTAGATGCTAAATAAATGGGGAGCAGGGACAGTAAACTGTGGTGTTTTAGCTTCTGTGCTATTTGAGGGTGATGGGGTGAGTCCAAAGGATTCCCTCCTTCTCCCATCCCTCGACACTGTCCCAGCAATGGACAGTTTTATCTTCTCCTCAGTCTACCCCTCCGCCTCTCAAGGTGTCACTTACCATCATGTCCCTGGCTCTCCATACTGAGGAATCACAGTTTTGATGTCTGTGATCCTAAATCAGACTCTGGAGGGCTGGAGAAGGAAGTGTCACAGACCTGGGAATGGGTGGGGAAATCCCAATGAACCTCAAAGCAGAATTTGACATTTCAGATCTTATAGCCCTCTTTCCACCTACTGGTAGAGTTGCTTCCAGGCTTTTTCTAGGCTGAGTCCAGATCTTGGTCCAGGTTTTTTTTTGTCTTTCTTTTTCTTTTAATACAGTGCTGCTAAAACTTTTGCAACTAATACAACCAAATAATGAGGAGAGAAGTGAAGCTGGTTTTGCTACTAAAGAAAAAATGGGTACATTTATTTTCTGGATTTGAATCTTGAAGGATTCTCTGAGAACATGAAAGTGTCTTATAGCTCACCCTGGATTGTGGGTTTTTCCCTCTTCATGAAGGCCGTTTGGTCACATGCATTGATATCAGTTGAGTTTGACAGAATGTAACTCAGATTTATTGAGAACTTCATGAGACTAATGATAATTTGCCAGAATAGTATTTTTTTAGATTTTATTTTATTTTAATCTTTATCTAACCCTTTGTTATGAGGTTTTTTTGGTGGGGTTTGAACAATGATCATTATCTCACGGCACAAACGCTGATGGTGCAAACTAGATCCACACTCCAAGAGGAAGAGATTGAAACGGAAATGAAGTTACTGCCTGATCCCTGCAGTGATGTGAGATACCGTTGGGAGGGGAAGAAGGTTGGGGCAGGGGGAGTGGGGGAACAGAGCTGGGAAAATGCTGAGTTTGCTCCTCAGAGCCAGACAGCTGGGGCTGAGAACTGTGAACTCGCTGCATCAGAGCCAGAGAGCCACTAGACTTGGCCTGTGAGTGTCATGGGAAGCTGCCCCTGAACTCTGAAGGACCAAGAACAACACCCCAAACAAGGATTGGGGGAGGGGGCAGTGTTTCCATATTGCTGAGTTGCCGAGGTTAGGTGCAGGCAGGAAGGGAGCCAGGGATGTCAATAGACCTGGGCAGCCTTGAAGCCAGGTCGACCCCCATTGCTGAGACCAGAGGGAGATGAGGAACCTGACAGCCCAGCTGGTCTCCGCCTCCCACTCACCGCAGTGTCCTGTGTTGGGATGACAGAGACTCTCTTTGCCCCACTCCACCCAACACTGATCCCTCTTGTGACTAACCCCTGCTCTCCATGTTCACCACTTGTGTAGGGTTCTGATATATTGTGCACAAAGTGTGCCTGGTGTGGGATCGCTGGAAAACTCATGATCTGCTGAATATTGTGCCGTTGAAATGCGTGTAACACCACTGCATGTAGGGTGAGATTTCACTGTACGTTTGTTACTAGGGTGACCATATTCCAGGTGCCCAAAAAGAGGACACCGCTGAGGGGTGGGAACTGGGGGGATGGGGAGCTGTGGGTTAGAGGGGTTGTGGTGGGGGTATTCATAAGGTGAGGGCAGTGTCAGTCAGTGTCACAGTGGCAGGGTGCTTGAACAAGCCCACAACACCGTGACAGCTATCAGTCAGGGCCTATCTGCAGGCCGCCCTCCTCAGGGCGGGGGCCTGGGGGGGTGGGATCCGGCAGCAATTAATCAGCTGCAGGTGTGCAGGGGAATGGACCAATCAGCTGTGGGTGCAGGGGGGACGCCCAGTTGGGTAGCTGACCAATCAGGGCTGTTTCTGAGCTACAGTGTGTCTGCTCTGCAAAACCCCCGGACATTGGCTGTTATGGGGAAATTGCTCGGTCAGAGAGAGCAGGCTAAATAAAGAGGCTCTGTCTGGTAAATCCCAGACATACGGTAACCCTATTTGTTACTGAAATACGTCATAGTTCTGGGGAACACCCACAGACTAGCTCCTCAGAGACGACAAAGGGGACTGGCCGTCGGTGTTAGAAAACTATTATCTGGCCATCCACCAATAGGAAGAAAGGGGTAAACAAAGACACGTACAATTTATCTGTAGGGCCATAGGCGCTGACTCCATGGAAAAATTGCTCTGCACCCACCGGCAGCCAAGCTCCCCTCACCCCACCTCGCCTCCGCCTCCTCCCCTGAGCGCGCCGCGTCCCCACTTCCCCTCCCAGCGCTTGCCGCTGCAAAACAGCTGTTTCATGGCATAACAAGCTCCGGGAGGGAGGGGAGAGGAGGCAGGGCCGGGGTGGGGATTTGGGGAAGGGGTTGGAATGGGGGAGGGGGTGGGGCAGGGGCAGAGTGGGGTCAAGCACCCACCAGCGCCAGCAGAAGTTGGCATCTATGTGTAGGATGCTTTAGAGCTCACATATGCCATGGAGTTGCCTGATTCCCTGACCCAGCAAAGACCTTGCCAGTATAAAGGGTCAGAGTATAAGAAGGGGGGCAAGGCCTCTGGCCATCTCCCCTCCCCCATCTCTACTGAGGGCAGCAAGATCCCTTGAAAGGCAATAGGAGCATCATTGAGCTGGGGGAGTGGTCCGAGCTGGAAGGCTTTCCAATGAGCATGGACTGCTGAAAGCTTTTGGGTGAGAGAAATCCTTTTGCTTGTAAGGGTACGTCTACACTCCAAACCTAAACTGACCTATATTAGGTTGACTTACAGACACCACAGTAATGACTGCTGTAGCCAATGTTCACACTATCCTGCTTGGGTCGCTGGGGTGCGTCCTCACAAGGACCGCTTCCACCGACCTAAGAGGGGCAGTGTGGGGAGCTGAGAGCCTGGTCTCTTCTGGATGCCCCACAAGCTCTGGGTGGGCTTTTCCCCCTAAAGAGTGGAGGAAGCCACCTGGGGCTTCTCCCCCTCCCCGCACCATTCCCCTCCCAGATTGACACCAGACCATTGATAACTACTCTGAGTGCAGTCTTCAGTTGTGCACCCACCTTACAGTAATTTATATAGACCAACAAATTCCTCCCTGCTGGTCAGAACTGAGTCTAACCCAGCTGTCCCATGGTTAGTTCCCCCACCATCAGAAAGCAGAAGTTGTCCCCGACGCATTCCCAGCACTTATTGCATATTGGGTGCTGTTAGGGTGGCCAGTCAAAAAGGGGACTTGACACTTGTCTGGTCAAATCTACTGACCGGACATCCAAAGTCTAGTTACTGCGGGCGGGGAGGCACCAGGTCATCACCCTCATCAGCCCCTATTCAGCCGGGCAGCTGCATCTCCCAGCCCTGACTCCACAGGCAGTCCCTCCTAACCTGGACAGGGAGGGAGGAAGAGGAATGGATGGGGGAGGAGCCCCGGGGGACGAGGCAGGACCTTGGGGAGACTAGGTAGGGTAGGGGTGGGACCTTGGGGAGAAGAAGCAGGGCAGGAGAGGTTCTGGCACCCTCCTGTAGTATCTGGTTTTAAAATATTACCTGGTTGGCAACCCACGTTGCTGGCTGAGAGGCTGTGAAAAATATTAACCAACATATAAATATAACTTTTAACAGCAGCAGAGTTACTAGCTAACAATAAATAAATTACAATTATTTTGATGTGTATCTGAGTAAGGGGAATGTTGGCCCCTCACTGAAACTTAGTTGGGGGGGCTTTGGTTGGCCCTCTCCCAAAAGAAAGAGGAAGGGCCAGTGAGAAATAAATACCTTGAGATTAGTCCCAAGGGCCAATGGGGAGAGACTAACGCTCTTGGTCAGTCTCTTTAGCAGGACAGGCCGGCCAATGAGGGAGTCAGGAGCCTGTCCTCTGTGTGAGCTGGAGCTGCTTGCCAGAGAAGGGCAGAGCTAAGGGGAGAGTAGCAGCCTGAGCTGTGCCGGGAGCAGAGCAGCACCAGCTAGAAGCAGAGAGGAGCAGCCCAGGGAGCTGAGCTGGAGGCAGAGGGAAGCTGGAGCCGTCCAGAGCCAGGTGCCATGAGCAGATGGGGAGAGTGAGGGAGACCCCAGGCAGAGGGATCAACACAGAGAGACGCCCCCAGCCAAAGGGCCTTGAAGGCCAGACTGGAAGGGGGATTGTAACCCCGACAGGAGGGGCCTGACACTGGGAAGAAGGGTCCTGCCACCTAGAGCCTGAAGGCACGTGTCCACTGTCAGAGCAAATGTTGGACCCACCGCATCTCTGCAGCACAGACAGGGCCTGAGGAGGAGGCCTGGGACGTAGGAGGAACAGACTGTGAACTGCCCTGGCATTCCAGAGATGCTGGTTGTGGTTCCCCCGTGCTCAGAGCCAGGTGACGTGTTTTCCTTTCGCTTTTCCCATTTTTTCCCCTTAATTTTTTTATTACTTGCTGTTTAATAAATTGCATTTGTTCTGAACTCTATACAATGCTGAGTGGAGACGTCAGGGAAGTGTCCGGAGTGAAACGAGAACCCTGGACTGGGGATACAACACCCTAGCCCAGGGGTTCTCAAACTGCAGGTCTGGACTCCTCAGGGGATCTCGAGGTTATTACATGAGGGGTCGCAAGCTGTTAGCCTCCACCCCAACCTGTGCTTTGCCTCCAGCATTTACAGTGGTGTTAAGTATATAAAAAGTATTTTTAATATATAAGGAGGGGTTGCACTCAGAGGCTTGCTGTGTGAAAGGGGTCACCAGTCCAAAAGTCTGAGAACCCCTGCCCTAGCCTCTGTCCTGAGTGATGGCAACAAGATTGGGGATGCAGCCCCCTCAGAAACCTTGGGTCCAGCATCATCAGGATTACAGAGACTAGAGTGGAAGGGGAGCCCTGGAGGTCAGACAGGCTCTGAGTGAAGGGAGTGGGAGCGAGGACTCAGATCCTTCTGCTATTTAATTCCACTGGGGTGGTGTATAAGCCAGGAAAGTGCAGGGAGGCTGCAAGCGAGACTGAATGCTGACTGAGACGTTTCTATGCAGGATGCCCCCTTAATGCTGGGAGAAGCTGCCGGAGTCCAGGAGTGGTGGGGTTCACAGGGCGCATGGGGACTTCAGGCTAAGTCCTGGTGCGTTTATCACTAGGACCCAGGAGCAGCTGTGGGGAGCGATCGCGGGGCTCAGGCCCGGCCTCAGGAAGTGACTCGCAGCCGCTGCGGGGACTCTGGCTCCCGGCGAGATCCCCGCGCCCCGGCGGCTGGTGCTGGGAGCCCGGAGCCCGGGCTGCAGCCGGGAGAGGGGAACCTCCAGCCGGGCCCTGCCCGCTGCTCCCCGGGAGCCTCTCCCAGGGCAGAGCCCCCAGCCCGGCCAGGGCCCCTTCCCGGCCCGGCCCCTGCCCCGGGGGGCCCCGCTCGGGGGGAAGGTAAGAGAGACCCGCCCCCCCGCCACCCCCGGGCTGCAGGGGGCGGGTTTGGCCCCAGGCTGCTCCCCGCGGAGCTGGCTGCGATTCCCTGCCCGGGGCCCGGGAAAGCTGCCGCCAGCTCCCGGTGTGTGCGGGGCGCAGGGGGCAGAGGGGGGTGAGAGCCGGGGCACAGGCCGTGCGGAGCGGGAAACCCGGGAATAGGGTGGGGCAGAGGGGATAAAAATTCCCCCAGATGGGCTGAGCCAGCTGCAGTGGTTGGAAAAAAATAAGTGGGGGAAGAGGCGTTTTCCTGCCCCGCTTCCCTAGGATTTTAGCTCCCATTTCCCGGGGCCGTGTCCTTAAAGGCCCAGTGCATCGCAGAGCCTGGACAGGGCCGCTCTCCCCCCGGTATAAGATGTTACTGAGCTGCTAAAAGAGACTTGATCCAGTGAAATATTTACAGACACCGCCCCAGATCTCCCTGTCACACCTGCTTCAAGTGTTTAAAAAAATCCAGGTCTCAGTTCCTGTGTCTGTGTAAAGCTCCTAGCCCCTGTCCCTGTTCCCCTGAGTTTCATTCCTTTGGAATCCAGTCTGGGCAGTTTCACTCCTTTACATTAGTTCCTTCTGAAAATATTCTTTGTATTACTCTGAGCTCTTCATCCTACACTTCATTAGCATTGTGCAGAGGGACATCATTCGGCCATGGAATTCATATTTTTAATGGCAAATCATCACGGAAAATATGAATAGTTGCAAGTAGCTTCAGCACTCACATCTCACGGTGACACCGTAACTGTTCCTGTTTCTATGTCAATGTTGTAATGTGAGGGCAGTGCTGACTGATTTAATAGGCTGGTCTCAAAACTCATCACATGAGTGAAGTGAGCTTAATATGTGTTTGTTACACCTGCCAGACTGTGCCTCACACCTTTGTGAACATGGCAGTCACAGACACACTGATATGACCATCCCCACGTACGACAGGGGTAACAGACAATGCTGTGAAAAGAACGAGGAGTATTTGTGGCACGTTAGAGATTAACACATTTATTTGGGCATAAGCTTTCGTGGGCTAAACCCACTTCATCAGATGCATGCAGTGGAAAATAGGGTAGGAAGATATATATATATATACAGAGAACATGATAAAATGGGGATTGCTATACCAGCTCTAACAAGACTAATCAATTAATGTGGGCTATCAGCAGGAGAAATTAAAAGTTTGTAGTGATAATCAGGATGGCCCTTTTCAAACAGTTGACAAGAAGGTGTGAGTAACAGTAGGGGGGAAAATTAGCATGGGGAAATAGTTTTTAAGTTCGTGAAATGACCCATCCACTCCCAGTCTTTATTCAAGCCTAATTTAATGGTGGCCAGTTTGCAAATTAATTCCAGTTCTGCAATTTCTCACTGGAGTCTGTTTTTGAAGATTTTTTGTTGAAGAGTTGCAACTTTTAGGTCTGAAATTGAGTTACCAGGGAGGTTGAAGTGTTCTCCAACTGTTTTTTGAATGTTATAATTCTTGATGTCTGATTTGTGTCCATTTATTCTTTTGCACAGAGACTGTCCAGTTTGGCCAATGTACATGGCAGAGGGGCATTGCTGGCACATGATGGCATATGTCACATTGGTAGATGTGCAGAGGAACGAGCCTCTGATGATATGGCTGATGTGTTCAGGTCCTATGATGGTATCCCTTGAATAGATATGTGGACAGAGTTGGCAATGGGCTTTGTTGCAAGGATAGGTTCCTGGGTTTGTGTCTTTGTTGTGTGGATGCTGGTGAGTATTTGCTTCAAGTTGGGGGCTGTCTGTAAGCAAGGACTGTCCTGTCTCCCAAGATCTGTGAGAGTGAGGGATCGTCCTTCAGGATAGGTTGTAGATCCTTGATGATGCGTTGGAGGGGTTTTAGTTGGGGGCTGAAGGTGACGGCTAGTGGCGTTCTGTTACTTTCTTTGTTGGGCCTGTCCTGTAGTAGGTGACTTCTGGGTACTCTTTGGGCTTTGTCAATCTGTTTCTTCACTTCAGCAGGTGGGTATTGTAGTTTTAAGAACGCTTGAGAGAGATCTTGTAGGTGTTTGTCTCTGTCTGAGGGGTTGGAGCAAATGCGCTTGTATCTTAGAGCTTGGCTGTAGACAATGGATCGTGTGGTGTGGTCTGGGTGAAAGCTGGAGGCATGTAGGTAGGAATAGCGGTCAGTAGGTTTCCGGTATAGGGTGGTGTTTATGTGACCATCGCTTATTAGTACTGTAATGTCCAGGAAGTGGATCTCTTGTGTGGACTGGTCCAGGCTGAGGTTGATAGTGGGATGGAAATTGTTGAAATCATGGTGGAATTTCTCAAGGGCTTCTTTTCCACGGGTCCGGATGATGAAGATGTCATCAATGTAGCGCAAGTAGAGTAGGGGCATTAGGGGATGAGAGCTGAGGAAGCGTTGTTCTAAGTCAGCCATAAAAATGTTGGCATACTGTGGGGCCATGTGGGTACCCATAGCAGTGCCGCTGACTTGAAAGTATACATTGTCCCCAAATGTGAAATAGTTGTGGGTGAGGATGAAGTCACAAAGTTCAGCCACCAGGTTTGCCGTGACATTGTCGGGGATACTGTTCCTGATGGCTTGTAGTCCATCTTTGTGTGGAATGTTGGTGTAGAGGGCTTCTACATCCATCGTGGCCAGGATGGTGTTTTCTGGAAGATCACCAATACGTTGTAGTTTCCTCAGGAAGTCAGTGGTGTCTGGAAGATAGCTGGGAGTGCTGGTAGCGTAGGGCCTGAGGAGAGAGTCCACATAGCCAGACAATCCTGCTGTCAGGGTGCCAATGCCTGAGATGATGGGGCGTCCAGGAATTCCAGGTTTATGGATCTTGTGTAGCAGACAGAAGACCCCTGGTCGGGGCTCTAGGGGTGTGTCTGTGCAGACTTGTTCCTGTGCTTTTACAGAGAGTTTCTTGGGCAGATAGTGTAGTTTCTTTTGGTAACCCTCCTGCTGATAATAGCCCACCTTAATTGATTAGTCTCATTAGAGTTGGTATGGCAACCCCCATTTTTTCATGTTCTCTGTATTCCTACTGTATTTTCCACTGTATGCATCTGATGAAGTGGGTTTAGCCCATGAAAGTTTATGCCCAAATAAATGTATTAGTCTCTAACGTGCCACAAGAACTCCTCGTTCTTTTTGCTGATAAAGACTAACACGGCTACCACTCTGAAACCTGAGACTAAGTTACATTTCCCTGGCAGTGCCTAATTACAAGGCAAATATTCACAGGCAACCCCCTCCCTTCCTGCGCACACACACACTGCTCCAAGCTTACATTGGATTTATTAAAAAAAGAGAAACTCATGATCTTTGGGGCTCTGATTCCTGAGTATTAAGGGGTTGCCCTGGGTCTTGCTCTGATTTCCATGCAGGATTCAGATCTTAGCCACACCGGTGTCACTCCTGGCTCTGGCATGGTGGGGAGTGTGGATGGGCCAGTGGGATCAGCCTTTACCTTCCTGTCTCTGGGGGCTGCCGGGGGAGTCCAGGGCAGCTCATTCTTCAGGTGTTGCCCCCAGAGGGCTCAAACTATTGCTAAGGGGGAGGGGTTTACACTGCAATGGGGGTAAATCCCCCAAAGTGGCCCCTTTGATTCTGCTCTTTTTCTAGTATTTGGCTCAGAGATGCTGTTACTGGGAGGGTCTGAAGAGCCTGGGGGGGAATCGGGGTGTGACATGGACTCCAGCCCCTTCTGTAACCTCCCCCATTGCCCCTCTCGCCCCAACAGGCTGAGGAATCACATCCACATTTTGCTCCAGGTCGGCCCCTCTTCCAGGAGACAGGGAAGGGACATGGCTGTGATGGAGCCAGCTCAGGTAGGGGATTTTCAGGGAGCTGCTGGGCGGGGGGAGGGAGAGGCAGGGAGGAGACAGGGTGTGAGAAACCTGCTGATTTTCTGAGTAGGCCCATTGGCTGCTGTGAGACACAAAGGGAATCTGTTGGGATTCCTGTCCCTGTCCCCGGCTCAGAGCTCTGCTTCCCGTCTCAGCCTGTGGATGGCAGGTGTGTGGGAAATGAGAAGACCCTGCCCTGCTCCGTGTGCCGGGGGGACCTTCTACCCAACCCCTGAAGCCTCCTGGCTGCTCTGACGGGTCGGGGTCTGATTTTGCTACTCTGGCCCTCCCAGAGCTTCGAGTTTTTTTTCCTTTCCCGTGACTAGTGGGATTGTATCTGGGGCAGCAGGTGCTGAGGGGGGACTCTTGGTGTTTCAGATGCCGGTGACCTTCGAGGAGGTGGCTGTGTATTTCACCCAGGGGCAGGGGGCTCTGCTGGACCCCGCTCAGAGAGCCCTCTACAGGGACGTCATGCAGGAGAACTACGAGACGGTGACCTCGCTGGGTAAGAGATTCCCCTCCCCTCGGTTATTAGAAGCCGTGGGTCTGAGTGTTGGACTCTGGTCAGGTTCTTCCCTGGTCACTTAGATCAGAGGCAAACAGGTTCCATAATGCACAGCTGCCGTGAGAGAGACTTGGATCTCCGTACCCTCTCCAATGGGATACAGCTGTCAAAAGCTAATGGACATGCGAGCTCATCCCCCTCCCTCCAGGTTTCAAAGGGACAGAATTCATTCATTGTCGTGTCTGTATTGATTCCCAGTCAGACACAGAATCCCTGTTCACCTCCCTTCTTGGAAATAGCTCCAGCCATGGGGAGGGCTCTGGGCTCTGCAGGTTTAGAAATAGGCAGAGGTTTAATGCCAGAGCTGGGTGTGCGTCAGCCAGTCCCCCAGAGAGCACAGATCCTGGGAACTCCTAATGAGGGTGTAAAAATTCCTGTTGCCTCCCCAGATACCTGCCTCCCCCAGGGCAGCTCAGTGACCATGTTCCTTCCTCTTAGGTTCCATATTCCCACCCGCACAGCACAGGGACAGGTTAATTTCACACAGCGCCCTTTGTGACAGACACTCCCCTAATGCTCCATGAACCCTGTGCGAAGAGTTCAGTCACAGAGACCCTCTTGGGACTGTTAGTTCCAGCAGACATCTTGGGTGATAAGCAGGGGTCTCCTCACCACAACCGAAAGCTTCCTTGTTTAGATTTGGCAAAAGGCGGGAGTCCTTTGTTCCAGCTTGACTCCCTTCCCCGTTCTTTATGGAAAAGTCCACGGTTTAAAAGGTGACATGGTCACTGTGACAGGGTTGGGACTCACCACCTCAGCGCCTCCTGCTGTTCACTCTGGGAATTAGCTCAGTTCATGCGGAGCGCCCTCTGCTGGTGGTGTCCCGTCCGTCTCTCTCCCAAGATTGGTGTTTCAACCCGCTTTGCTCCCAGCTTGCCGGGTCCTCTTCAAGACACTGCCCTCTGGCAGTGCCCACTGCTCCACTCTCACCCCCTTTCAGGGGTTTGATGTTATCAGCAGTCCTTCTCTTCGCCCCAGCCACAATGGCCAACTCCACTCCAAAGTCTAACTTCGTTTGGCAGGGGTCTGGTGCAGTCCGTGATGGCCACTCCAAACGGCCAGGTGGAAGTGCAAGGGGGGGGACCCAGGCACACCCTCTACTCTGGGTCCCGACCCAGGGACCCTTTGGCAACAGCCTTCCTACCTGCCCTCCTTCTCTCCCTTTGCCCATCTCTCTCCCTGGGCTGTTTCCCCTTCAGCCCCTTTGCACTGGCTAGGCCCTTTTTCTCAGGGCCCGGCAGGTACCGGGCAGGAGTTCCCTTCTGCCCGCCCCCCGCCCGCCAATCTCCTCATGCAGGAGATAGACCTTCACCCTCTGAAGACCTGAAAGAGATTGCCTGCTCCTATCCTGAGCAGCCTTTAAAAGGCTTAGCCTAGCCCTGATTGGCTGGCTGTAATACTGGCCCTGATTGGCTCTCTAACAGGCCCTCCGTGGTTGGCTGCCGCCTTGCACAGCCGCTCTGGCCTGTTGTAGCTCAATCTGGCCTGGTGGTGGGGCACCACCCCACCACAGTCACATGCCTCTGTAAGACACTAGTCTCCTTTTTTCATGGGCTGATCCTCACCTACACAGGAAGATTTAAAGGTAAACAAAACCATTCTCAGCCCATTGTTCTGGATAAATGGAGCAAACAAGATCCTAAAGTATCATTAATGACCCTCACTTAGAATAATCACAACAGGACCTTAGATTTGTACTTCATATTCCTAACTTTAAATATAAGAGTGATACATACATACAAATAGGAAAACTATATTCGGTAGATTACAGCATAGATTACAGCTTTTCCAATGATGCCTTACGTGGGACCTTTTACATAAAGCATGTTCCAGTTATCTCATATTCATATTGATAAGCATATTTGCAGAAAGCATATGGAACACCCCGTAACACCCTGATCTGGTCTGATTTAACCCTTGCGCAGGATTTCCCATTCCCAAACCTGAGCTGATTGCCCAGCTGGAACGAGGGGAAGAGCCGTGGGTGCCCGATCTCCGGGCCTGCAAGGAAAGAGATATCCCAAGAGGCACCCACACAGGTGAGGACTGACACAGAAATCAAATGGGGAATGAAGGAAAAAGTTGAGAATCCCGAAAATATAGTGTAAATAAGGGCCCTCAGTTCTTCCTCCTCTCACCCAGGGCAGGGTTGTAGTCAGCAGATATCGCTCATGCCATTCCACCCAGCCTCTTAGCTGCAGTAGTTTCCTTCCCTGTGAGTGTTTGGGTGAGAAGTGGAGGCAGAATCCAATTGCTCAGTCTTTGTGTTGGGTTTTTCCTTGGTGCTATTCCTCTTTCTCCCCAGCACAATGACTCCTGTCTGGATTGTCTCTGTCTCCCATCAGGTGCTGAGCGAGTGAGTGAGAATGAAGAGGAGAATCATGGTGCAGAAGTTCCTGGTAAAATGGAACCAAAGGAGACCTTTCTGGGAAGTGCTGCATGGAATTTTTCCCAGTGCTTGGAACAGGCAGATGCCTGGGGAAATTGTCACAGGTCAGAGAGGCTGCTGGAAAACCACCCAGGGAAGAAAGTGGATGAATCTATTAACTGTGGAAGAGGTAACGAGGATCCCAGAGTGCAGCAGACAAATCCCAAGGAAGAGACACCCTGGGACTGCCTGCAGTGTGGGAAAAGATTCATTCTGAACTCACAGCTTGTAACACATCAAACAATCCATACTGCAGAGAAACCCTCTCAATGCTTGGACCGTGTGGAAAGCTTCAATAACCCCTTAGACCTTAATAACCATGGGAGACGCCACACAGAAGAGAAACCCTCTCAATGTCTCGAGTGCAGGAAATGGTTTTTTTGGAAGTCAGAACTAATTACACATCACACAAGCCAAACAGGAGATAGAACTCATAAGTGCGTGGACTGTGGGAAAAGTTTCAGACGGAGGTCAGCCCTTTTTAAACACCAGGCATTGCACACAGGAGAGAGACCCCATAAGTGTTTAGTCTGTGGGAAAAGTTTCATATGGAGGTCAGACCTTGTTAGACACCAGGCATTGCACACAGGAGAGAGACCCCATAAGTGTTTAGTCTGTGGGAAAAGTTTCATACGGAAGTCAGACCTTAGTAAACATCAGAGAATCCACACAGGTGAGAGACCTCACAAGTGTATGGACTGTGGGAAAAGTTTCATACAGAGATCAGACCTTGATAAACATCAGAGAATCCACACAGGTGAGAGACCTCACAAGTGTATGGACTGTGGAAAAAGTTTCATACAGAGGTCAGCCCTTGTTAAACATCAGAGAATTCACACGGGAGGGAGACCCCATAAGTGCTTGGATTGTGGGAAAACATTCAGAATTACATCAGCCCTTGTTTTACATCAGAGAATCCACACAGGAGAAAGCCCCCATAAGTGCTTAGACTGTGGAAAAAGTTTCATATGGAGGTCAGACCTTGTTAAACATCAGAGAATCCACACTGGAGAGAGACCTCACAAATGCATGGACTGTGGAAAAAGTTTCACACAGAGGTCAGACCTTGCTAAACATCAGCGAATCCACACAGGAGAGAGACCTCACAAGTGTATGGACTGTGGAAAAAGTTTCATACAGAGGTCAGGCCTTGTAAAACATCAGAAAATCCACACAGAAGAGAGACCCCATAAGTGTTTGGACTGTGGAGAAAGTTTCAGAATCACATCATCCCTTGTTTTACATCAGAGAATCCACACAGGAGAAAGCCCCCATAACTGCTTAGACTGTGGAAAAAGTTTCAGACGGAGGTCAGAGCTTGTTAAACATCAGGTAATCCACACAGGAGAGAGACCCTACAAGTGCTTAGACTGTGGGAAAAATTTCGTACGGAGGTCAGACCTTATTAAACATCAGGCAATCCACACAGGAGAGAGACCCTACAAGTGCTTAGACTGTGGGAAAAATTTCATACGGAGGTCAGACCTAATTAAACATCAGGCCATCCACACAGGAGAGAAGCCTCACAAGTGTTTGGAATGTGGAAAATGTTTCACACACAGATCACATCTTCTAGCACATCATAGGATCCACACAGGAGAGAGACCCCATAAGTGCTTGGACTGTGGGAAAAGTTTCACAAACAAATCAGCCCTTGTTTCACATCAGAGAATCCACACTGGAGAGAGACCCCATAAGTGCTTGGTCTGTGGGAAAAGTTACACACAGAGATCACACCTCACTAAACATGAGAGAATCCACACAGGATCTAAACTTCTGTAACACATGGCCAGAAAGGGTTAAGCTACTTGCAGGCTAATTGACCCAGATTCAACCTTTAGACACATGTTAGAAATGTGTGTAAATAATAATTAGAGCCATCCACATTAGATACAGTAGAGCTTTGAAATGTAAACTTTTATGGTTAAAGAACTGGAAGAAGATAGTAATTGTACTAGTCTATGCTTACTTACATTTTGTTAGAAGGTT